TGTTTTATGAAATTTTTATTGTTATCGGTGCCCCTGAAGATCTCTAAACAGAGATAGCTTTGCACCTAGAGTGGATCATCTGTGGTTGTATTCTCACATAAGCTCTTTCTATTATATGGAGACAGTTACACCAAGCACTAAGTCAGGTTACTTCTTGGCTCCATTAGGCAACTAATCCTAGCACTGTCTTCCTGTACCCTTACCAGGCTATCAACAGGTGTATGCTGCCACAGTGGGGTGCTGGACTAGGGGGACAAGGCAGGCCAAGGTGCAGGGTCTTGACCTGCCCAGCTCCTCAGCATGGCCAGCTCACTTTGCTCACTCCTCTTGGGGCTGCTTTCAGTAAAAGGTGAGCTAGCTAGGAGAAACAATTTGAAGTCCTGGAATACATTGCTGAAGAGAAAAGGTGGGGTTTGGAGCTCAAGAGGCAATAAAGTGGCAGGGACTTTTCTTTATTGTTTCCTAGGGGCTGGTTTCTGGAGTCCTAGGTGCAGGGCCTCAGGCTAGTTACTTTGGGGGGACCCTCTACAGTTCCCTAATCTTGCATGCTACAGCAAGCCCTGCCATTCCAGAGAGATGCCTTCTGGTGGGCTGTGCTCTTCCACAGCGTCACCCCCAGGGAGCTGGCTGAGCTTCCAGGGTAGAGGCTTGTAGGTGCCAGCTACCTGCCACTCCACACTATCACCCCCTACAGTGCTGTGTAGTGATTGTCAGCTGGACTAGGGCGTGCATTGAATCTGCTTGGGACCAGAAGAACATAGGCTTCTCATTACTCTGACGGTTCCTTTGTTCTACTACCCCATGAGAAGTTAAGCAGTTATTATTCGCCAGAGCTTATAGCCAACTCAATTTCTGGAGGCTGGAGTTCCCAGCTATGTGAGCCACCACCAAGGATGACCCCACCTACATTTGCTCCCGCAGGGGATGCAGGGGCTTTGAGGTTTGTCTCCTGGCGATTTTTTGAGTTCAGCTAGCTTCTCAGGAAGCAGAGCTTCTCAGGCACTAGCCATAGTCAGAGGAGACACCCCGGTCCTGGACATCATGTGGAAAGAGCACGCTCAGTCCTAGCTTTGCTGTCTCTCTCGCTTGTTGTCTATAAGGCTGATGGCAGCATGGGCTGGTGGCAAAGACCTCTTTATGTCCACAACAAATTCCATCTCAGGACAGCTAGGGGACTTTCTGCAGAGCACAAGGAGCAAGTACATTCTCAGTGCCTGCTTCTGCCAGCACTGTCACCTGGCTGGCACCATTTCCCACTTGGTAGAGGGTGAGAGTACAAGTGCAGAGGATGGGGCTTTCACAGGTAGGTCACAGACCTGTGACTGTGTTCCAAAGTGGGCATCAGTATAAGCCCTGGAGAAGGTTGGCAAAAGCAGAGGGAAACCTTGAGCTGCATGAGTCACTCTTGCTACTGGGAACTAGAAGGGTTTGCTCACCACTGAAGTTTTTCAGATAAAGGTCTGCAATAGAGGGGTCTAAAAGTGCCACCTTTCTTACGTTCAGGGTGTGACTTTCAATCTAATGTTTCCTTTGATCTTTTTTCTTCACCTTATATTTTATAGCCAGAGCCTGAACCTTCTCGTCGATTTTTTGTTGACCAGTGGGAGCTTTCTCTTAGTCTCCGTTCCTCCCACCACCCTGCCTCTCCCTCCTCAGACTCACTCCGACAGGTAGCATGGCCTGGGACTTGGTGAAGCCACGTTCCTGCTGCAGCCTCTGCTCACCCCATCCTTATGGGTGTCTTCTGGTGGTCTTAACCTTGGCCTGTCTCTGTAGGGAGCTAATGGCACGTGTGGCTTCGTGGGGGGAGAGATAGAGCTGCTGCAGCAGACATCTAACTTAAACAGGCTGCTAGCTTTCACTGGATCGTGTTCAGTGTGTCAAAGTTGGTCAGAGTCCACCCACTTTGATTGTATTTTAACTGTATCCAGTAATGGTAAGCATTTTTTAGCCATTGGCTTCTTTTACTTCATATATCCTCATAATCATCTGTGCTACAAAATAGGAACCATATTGTAACCAAATGCCTTAGGTGAAGTAGTGAATATGCAGTATTCTGGGTGCCTCTTGAGTTGTAATCATGTGAGGAATGAACCCTGGACTTCCCTCAGTGGCACTGGTCCAGGTACAGAGCAGTTTCTACAGAGATGAGAAGGTCTTTTTGCCCTTGTGTGCTTCCTAAGCAGTGTACGCAAAGGAGTGTATGTGTGCATTGTGTGGTAGTAAAAGTCTGGCAATTGCTACGCTTCAGCTATTTTTTAACAGTTAGGAAAAAGAAACCGTCTGCTTTTCATGCCAGAAACAAACAGAAATTGAGTCTTCACCTCTGGCAGCGGGGGTGGGGGGGTAATGCTGAGAACTAAATGCGCCCAGGCTGCAACTGCTGAGGATGATGGTTTCTGATTGGGTGCACATTGCAAGCCTGGGGCTGCACAGCGTCCTAGCCTCACGTGTGCTGTCTGGTCTACACTCTCACTTGTCCGCTGCACAATGAAAGAGATGCAATTTTCTGCTCCCTTGGTGTCAGCTATTAAGTGGTGTGCTCCACTCTGCCTGGTGTCTCCACAATCCCCGATCTAAAGAAGGTTGAATATCTTAAGAGCCGTTTGTTTTCCTCAGCCACTAATGGATATAATCTGTGAGTTAATGGACAAGTTGTACAGATCCTTGGAGATCTTATTTTTAAATTGGAAAATACAAACAATTCCTCAGTTCTAGCTAAGCCTTGAGCTGAGGCAAGCGAGAATTATTTTCTTATTTTTGTTTGTTGTTCCAGATTTGTGTAGGATTGGCTCCCCTTCCCCAGAGTATTTCTCTTTGTCCCTATCCAGTCTGAGTATGCCCTTGCTCAGGCCAAGGGTCCTCTTGTATACACATGGCTCCATATGTTTGTCCATGCAAACCACTTCCTAAGGGGCCATTCCTATCTCCAGGGTAACTGTTCCTCATGTATTTCTGGGTCCAAATTAATCATGGCTCCCCTGTTCCACTTCATTTATGAAAGGCCCAGTACATACACGTATTATGGCCAGATCTGCTGGAAAGTTAACTCAGACATGGAGTCTCTAACCATCCTTTCAAAGGTGAGCCTTTGACAGCATCCCAGGACATCCTGCAAAGCTGGGCAGCCCTGGTGTGAGGTCTCAGTGTGAGTAGGAAGATTCACCATGCAAACTTGGCGATTTTCTCTTGTTACTTCTTTGACATTGCCAGAAAGAGAACTGAACTGGTTGAATTTTTTTTTCAACCCATAGAAGTAATTTCTCCTGGAGTAGAAACACATTCTGACTTCCTGGGTCTAATTTAGTCACTTGTCTACATGGCTATAGCATGTGGTTGAGATACTCCACCCAGCCTAGAAGGGTCTGGCTTTAGAGCATGGGTGCATCACAGGGATCTCATTGTGCTGCTCTCAAACCTCCATTAAGTATCAGCAGGGAAAATGGGCAGAGAAGCAACTTCTAGCAGAGCTAGCTGGTGCCCCCATGTAGGATAGGCACTGTGGTCAAGAGAAATGGGAACTCTGGCTGTGGTACCCAAGTACAGAGTCAGCCTTTGCAACTCTGAGCTTGGTTTCTTTCTAAATGAGAGAAAAGCCAGGGATTTAGCTCAGCGGTTCGGTGGCCTGCCTCCCAAGTGCAAGGACCTGAGTTCGATCCCCGGTACCAAAAAACAAAATAAATAAATAAATAACAAAATAAATAAATGAATGAATGAATGAATGAATGAGAGAAGAACCTGCCAGGCCCTCTTCTTCAAATAGGTTAATCTGGGCCTCTGCCACCTGCTTGGAGTTGTTCCTTTTGAACTGTCTTTATAATTTGAGTCACCAGGATATAGGCCCTTCATTTTTTTTTGGTACCAGAGATTGAACTCGGGTCCTTGGGCTTGCAAGGCAGGGCACCGAACCGCTGAGCTAAATCCCTGGCCGAGGCCCTTCTATATCCATCCTGGCTTCAACCTCCCTGTAAGTCCCAGAACTGTATATTCCAAAAGATGGAAAAGACCCAGTTCTCCCCTATGGAAGACCATCTCTCTGCAGCTGCAGCTCGCTCCTGTGCTGACCCCAGGTGGACACCAGTGCAGTGTTTTGCTCACCACCCAGTTTCCTTGCTTGTGGGCACTGTGTTGGCATGGTTTGCTGCTGCACTGTTTTCATTTTATACCATTCAAAGATTTTTTTTTCCTTATCCTCTCAATTTGTTTATTTTGCCTTCTCATTTCCCTGCGTTCTGGTCATTCTGTACTCTCCAACCCATAGAAGTATATAAAGATGTACACGGGCGGAGTGAGCTCATTGGCTGAGCAGATAGCCAATCAGCTGCAAAGGAAAGAGCAGCCCAAAGCCCTTCTAGCCAAGAAGGAACTGGTAAGAGCCATCCCAAGGGCACTGTCGCTAGTCATGATGCTGAGGTGGTCATCCAGCCTCTCACTTGTTCTAAGGAGCTTAGTAATGTGTGTGGCTGCTTGTGTTGCCATGTGGTATTTCTTTTTTTTAGGTTGTCTGAATTTTGATAACTGAATGCTACAACTGTATTAGATGTTTAGAATGTTACATGTAAAAGCATTTAGTTTTACTAAAAGTGATCACTCTAGAGTGCACGGAATGCATTTATGTACTTACAAATACTGAGTATATGTATATGTATATGTATGATACCCTCCTAGCAGAATTATGTCATAGTAATTTGGTTTGATTGTTATGAAATTCTGCACATTTGGATCCTTCATCAGAAACAAATCTTGGTTGTTATCAGCACCAATTCAGATTCCACCTTGTACTGAGAGTTCTCAGGAGGGGCTTGTGTGAAACACCTGCAAGAGTGCCGTTACCCTTTGGGAGAGCCAAAAGTAGAGCGAAAGCAGCGGGCCAGTACTCGCTTCAGATAGAAGCGCCAGGGTCAGCATCACCCACAGAGAGGTTGTGCAGCTGTGGGAGGGGAGTCCAGGAGGCCTTGAGTTGACCCTTCTCTTTCCACACCCCTCACCCTGTCCTGCAGGGCTCCATGAAGAAGGAGTTCCCGCAGAACCTGGGGGGCAGCGACACTTGCTATTTCTGCCAGAAGCGGGTCTATGTGATGGAGCGGCTTAGTGCCGAGGGCAAGTTCTTCCACCGGAGCTGCTTCAAGTGCGAGTACTGTGCCACCACCCTACGCCTCTCAGCCTATGCCTATGACATCGAGGACGGTGAGTCCACTCTTGGACATAAGCATGGGCTGTTTTGCCCACTGTGGCAGGCTCCGTGGGGCCATGGCTTCGTTCCGTGTGCAGGTTTTTGGTGTGCCCCTGCTAACCCCTCCCATCCGTCTCCCTCCACTCTTTGAGTCACCAGACTGCATCAAAGAATTACTTAGTGATGACAGTGAGGATGGTATATGTTATCTGAGTCATTTCCCTGACCGGACACTCCCTTGCTTCCTTACCTCATGGGGGATCTTGAGATACAGACCTGGAGTCACACGTCCATAGGAGTCACATTTGCTGCATCGATTGATGACATTAAATTGAAACTAGATCCCAGACTCTTGCTTCCCAGGCTTTTGACTCTTGAAGCCGACTGAAATGTGCCTGATATTGCTATCTTCCTCGGCACCAGCATCTTACTACCCTGTGCCTTAGGAATGGAGACCGGTGCCTGGGACCTAATCTGATTTACTGTGGTGTTTAAGGACTATCATTTTATGGCATGTGCTTTTTTAAAACAAATAGTGGAAAGACCTTGATAGGGTACAGGGCAGAGAAGTATACAAATAAATAACAAGGCCTGATGGAGTTGGGCTGGACTCGTGCCATCTGATGACCTTAAGGTCAGCAGAAATAGGTGACATAAGGCAGTGGTGACTCTTGATTCCACTCCCATAGGATGCAGAAAGAACTGCATGCAAGGCAATTTTACTGATTCAGAGAAACAGAAAATTAAGAGGAGAAAAAAACCTAGATTAAGAGGAGAGAAAGTAAGTTTTTGTGGGAGTGATGTTATCCATTACATTGAAAGGTGATTTTTTTAATGAGAAAATTGCAAGGTGATGTCACATAAGAGGGGGACTCCCGTGTAATTGGGACGGTCATTCCAATCTTCTTATCCTTCCTAGTAGTGAAGAAACAGACATCTGTGTCAGAAGGAGCAAGAAAGCCTAGAATGGCAAACTGTGAAAGGCTGATTCTTATCATCATTGCACATGGTCCTCTTACTTCATTAGTAAAGAATATTACTAAGTGGGGGAAGAATAAGACAGTTCAGTGAGGAAGACAAATTGTTAGGTATCAAATTTGGTGGGGGCGCTAAGTATGTGGCTCAGTGGTAAAGCACTTTCCTAGCATGCATGGGGCCCTGGGTTCTGTCTTCAACACTGTAAAAACAAACTTTCTGTTGTACTTTTCCTGCTCCCTGGGTAACATCTTTGACTCCAAGGATGAGGGTTGCAGATGGAGCCCACCCAATCTCCTGGAACTGTCCTTAATGCTTAGGTTATTTTAGTTAGCCTTTTACCTTGGGATATGCCTGGGAAAAATAATCCCTCAGGTCCAGCCAATTGGTCCATAGGTAGTTTTGCCTGTGAATTTGTGCTCATCTTTGCTCCTTTCTCCTGGGGATATAGATGAACTATCGTGCCTCTGGAACCTTGTAGTTGTGTTAGCTTTCTATTGCTATAACAAAATATCTGAGAAAATTAACTTAAAAAAAAAAAAAACGGTTGTTGGGGGTGGTAGCATACACATGTAATCCCACCCTGAACAATTTAGTGAGTTGGCAAGACCCTGTCTCAAAGTAAGATATAGTGAAAGGGCCCTGGGTTCAATCCCTAGCACCACCAAGAGAAAAAAAAAGGTTTATTTGGACTCACAGTTTTGGAGGTTTTAGTTCATGATTGACCCTTTTGCTTTGGACCTGTGGTGGGGCAGTGTATCCTAGCAGGAGTCTGTGATGGAGAAAACTTGCTTACCTCATTGCCTCAAAGGAAAAAAGGAAAAGAAGGGACTGAGTTCTCACAATCCCTTTCAAGGGGACCCCATCAACCTAAAAACCTCCTGGTAGGCCCCACTCCGTAAAGGCTCACCACCTCCCAGTCGCACTGCCCTAAAATAAGAACCATGCCTGTATTTAACACATGGACCTTGGGGGGTGTTCCAGATCCACACGGAAGCATTCCAATGAGAATGATGAGGCCAGGGCACATGAAATAAAGCCGTGTAGGAACGTGTGGTTAGTGCCAAGTCCCAAGCCTTCATAGAAATTTAGAAGAGGAAAGTGATAATGTTCAAGAGCAGTTTGGAATGCTGGGCATAATAGCACACACCTGTGATACCAGTGCTTGGGAGTCTGAGGTAGGAAGATCGCTGTGAGTTCAAAGCCAGCCTGGGCTACATAGTGAGACCCTGTCTCACAAAAGCAATGCAAAAGAAAAAGAAGAGCAATTTGGAAAGACTTAACTGACCTCAGGCAAGTCTTTGAAGAGAGAGGTGGGAACTGGATAGCAGAGGAAGGAGATCCCTTTCTAGACAAGAGGACCTCAGGCACCTGAAGGCAGTGGCCTTAAGGCTGGCATGGAATGAGGCCAGCCTCCCAAGTGCATTATGATTCTAGACATGGAGCAGGGCCAGCAATGGGCCTACACCAGCTCCACAGATTACTCAGAGTTTTCATCAACTTAGCCCCTCCAGAGAAGTCTCCTCATCTGTTAGGAGGCACATGGACTCAGGAAAAGAATGCAATTTTAGGGGCACTAAAATTTTACCCTGTTGTTCGGCCGAATTACTGAAGGCTTCATAAATCTAAATAAAGGTCAGGGATATAGCTCATTGGCACCACACCTGCCTGGCAAATGCAAGGTCTTGAGTTTGATCTCCAGTACCCAAAAGAAAGAAATCTAAATGAGGTGCCTCAAATAAGAAAAGAAAACAGCAGAGAAGTTTTTGGAGCTCAGGAGAAAAGAAATATCACAGGTGTTGAACTGGGCCCTAAAACACATAGCATATCATTTTGTACTCCTAACAACTCTGGGCGGTAACTTTATTATTGTAATTTTGCAAAGTAGAAGCCAAGTTTGGAGAATTTCTCAGTTGCTTGTCCAAGTTTACACAGCTAGTAGGTGCTGGCTTGTGTTCAATGACCTCCAGGTGAAAGGTTTGTATTCAGTTACCTCTGAGGTGACTCCAAGTCCTTTGTCAGCTCCACAGTGATAAACTGAGATCCTGTGCATCTGCAACAGGTGTGTGATTTGCCTTTGTCACTGGCCAGTCTTCCCATCTGCACTTTCTAAGGGTGCAATTTCTGCCAGAACCAAGCTGCTCTTCTTCGCTGAGTGCCAGCTCAATTTTCATTGCCACCGACTCTTCAGATGAGGGCTGTGAGTTAGACAGTGTCACGTTTCTCCCTGTCGTCTTGAGGAGAAAAAACAGACTCCCTGCTGGAGGAGTTTATAACTTCTCAGGAGTGACAAGCTAGCAACTGTGTCTTTTGTCTGGACTGCTACACTCCCTGCCTCCACCACTGACCCTGTAGTCTGTTTCCACAGAGCAACCCGAGGGATTTACAAAGGTGTCAGTGCCACCAATGCCCTGCTTCCTACCTCACTGCCCATAGCAGTACCAATGGGATTCACAGCCTTGTCCTGGGGAGAGCTTTGCATGGCTGCCTTAGTTCTCTGCTGTCATGTGCCCTCCGCTCACTACTGTCCCCTTTCACACTGGTCTTTTTTTCCACTCTATGAACATGATGGAGCTGCTGCTGCGTTGGGACTTAGCACTAGGAGGCCGTCTCCTCCCTGCAGCACACTCCCTGTCTTTTCCTGGCCTTCCCACCTGCACAGGCCTCCTCCTCAGGCCCTTCCTAGACTTCTGGCCTGACGTGGCAGGCCAGGTTCAGTCACACTGCCTTTTTAGTTCCCCACAGGACAGTCATTCTGCTTAGTCACACGGCAACTGCTCCTTCCATGGAACTTCTCTGTCCTGACAGGAGGGCTCTCTGCAGTTGGATTATACCTGCCACATAATGGCACTCAGTGAGTGGCTGAGTGGAATGGATGAAAGACCCAGTTTGCCTTGTTTGCCTGACTGCCATCCGTTTTCTCCAGTTCCTGTTTGCAGTCACTCTCTTATGTAATGATCAAGATTGCTTAATTTACACCATCTCCAATTGGTCAGATAACTGAATCACCCAGTTAATTTTTTGTACCAGGGATCGAACTCGGGTCCTTGTGCTTGCAAGGCAGGCAGCAGAACCACTGAGCTAAATCCCCAGCCCTACCCAGTTAATTTTTAACTGTCTGTCTTTACTGATTGATAGGTTAAATGTACAGGTTCTGGAGTCAGCCTCAGAGGTTCAGATCCTGTCTATGAGACTATGAGACACTTTGGGCAGGTTGCTCAGCCTTTCTTTGTCTCAGCTGGGAAGAGGCATATAATAATCGTAGCTATGTGCTAGGGATTTAGCTCAGTGGTTCTTTCGCCAGCCTCACAAGCACAAGGTCCTGAGTGTGATCCCTAGTACCATAAATAAATAAATAATCATAGCTGCTTCACTGGGTTGCGTGAGGATTGACTTGGTAGATGCACAACAGTTGCAATAGTGTCTGGCACAAGGTGAATGTTAGATAAAAATTAGATCATTCATCTAAAAAAGGAAAAGTGTCATTAAAGTTGAGTTTGGAAAAGAGAGTGACAGGATGCATTAATGGGTCACCTACAACTCATGTAAGATTTTATGTATCCCAGCCTAGGAGGTGGGAGTTGTCTTTATTTTCTATAATCACAGCTGCTGAGTGGGTGCCTTGCCTTTGAACTGAGCTCCACTTTCAGTGCTTGAGTTCCTTGCGTCACGTTGTGCTGCCTTCCTAAAGAAATGATTTTCTTAGGACTTGCCTTTGGTTCGGCCTATGGGACTTGAGAAGTTAAGTTCTGAAACTCCTGCCCGCCAGGCACTGTGCTGCTGAGGTACATCCTCGGCCCTAAGTTCTGAAACATAGGTAATTAATGTCAAGTATGGGTTAATAGTGCCCATTAGGACCACATCAAGGAAGGAAGGGTATTTCTTAAAGTAGGAGATAAAACAGACCCTAAAAGAAGTGTATCATCTGAGTACTAATAATACATTTGACCTTGACCTGTTTATTGGTGGCCAAAATTCATAAGAATAGCGTGGCTCATTACAGATTATAAAGGAAATTGAGGGTGGCCCAAAAAGTAAGTCCCCGCACAGCTCACTTTCCCTTGTAGAGACTGAG